AAAAAAAAAAAAAAGATTCTTCCTCTTTACTTTCGTGAATTAAACTGAGAAATGAGAGCCAAGACATGTGTAAGATTACTCCTCAACTTACTATATGTTCAAAACTACTGCAATAAATGGTTAAGCATTCCATGTAGGTTCCGTAATGAAGCAAATTTTAGAAAAGATATTCAGTAGTTCAGATGTAAGCAGCCTCAATGTAAATGGTCAATCAAAATTTAAAGAAATTTAGAAGTCAAAGAAACTATTAAGTATCAGATCAAAGACAAGTATCCAGAGAACAATATCATATTGACTAATTAGAAATATTTTAAAAAGCATCAAAGCACATCAGGTCAGATATAAGAAACAGAACATTACATGGATCGTTAATAAAATTACGAGTAAACAATTAAACATATTCAAGCCATATGGGCTATATGAGAAATAAATAGGCAGGCATCTATCATGGAATGTAACATCTTCATAAGAAACTTTATTAGAAGCACTTGTGTTCAAGCCATTTACAAAAAAAAAAACCAACCCAGTGCAACAAAATCACACGGAAAGGAATTAACTTTCTTCTATCCCTCCACGTTCAGATTAAGTTGAAACTAAAATAGTTCAAAATTGACAATTGAAATGAGTGTCTTCATCTTCAATTTTAATTGCACACCACTACTGATTAAATACTAAATATAGAATATATCTTGTTGGGCAAACACTTGCAGATTAAGCATAAACAGTACATAAAGTCATAATAAACGCACCGTGAGACAGAGGATGCAATATCGTCCACTCATGTAGTGAGAACAGGATAGCTACTACTACTACTACTACACACACAGTTTGGCAATTAAAGCTGATTGATATGTGTTAGGTGCTATACCCCCCAATCGTTGATGCAAAGTCTGGTCAAGGTAACAATTACTATTCCACAGCTTACCGCTTTCAGCCGTCCAAAACGCTGGGAATCGTTGATAAACGCCTTCATCTCGGCTGTCCTAGGGTGGTGCATCCACATGGTAGCATCCATGTACTGCACCCCACTCGATTCGCACGCCGCCAGGATCTTGTCCAGCTCTCCCACGTTCAGCGCCACTGGCTTCTCCAGCAGCACGTGCTTCTTCTTCTGAGCCGCCAAGACCGCCCAGCGGAGGTGCAGGCTCGTCGGGAGCGGGATGTACACGGCATCCACCTCCGGGTCGTCCAAGACGGCGTCGTACGAGCCGTAGGCCCGGGCCGAGGGCGGGAACCCGTTGTCCCTCGCGAACGCGGTGGCTTTCTCTTGTGAGCGGCTGCCGACGGCGACTATGGTGGAGTTGGGAGAGAGGAGAATCGCGCGAGACACCTTGCGTGCTATGTTGGCGCAGCCAACGATTCCGAAACGCACCAGTGAAGGCTCCGCCTCTGCCATCTGTTTTTTTGGAAAATTGAGATTTGTTTGAGTGCACAAAATTGTATTTCACTATTTTGTATTTGTAAGGCTATCTTTATTCACGCCACCGGGGGCGGTGGCGTGAGAAACAGACAAAAAAAAAAA